CCAAGCTAAGCTGAGCCGAGCTTGAGCTCGAGTTTGACTCGTTTATCCATATTAAATAGTCGAGTTTGAGTCGAGCTCTATATTTTAACTGATTGCGCTTCGTGACGCGACAAATTAAAATTTATAATTTTTCTCGACTAACATCCACTAACTAGCAGCAGCAGTAAGAGTCGATCCCACAAGGAGTGAATCAAATCGTGAATTTTCTCGTATTAATTGAGATAATAAGTGGCCATAACGGAGGAGGGAATTGAATTATGAAATATAATCTAACTAAGAATGAACCTAAATAAGAGAATAAAAAGAAAATAAATTAAGAGAAATTTTTAATTTATGGTTATGTCTACATCCTCGCTCGACTAGTCTAACTAATTGTGACGTCAAGATTAACTATCTTATGAAATTACTAGCCCTGGATAGCAACATAATTTGCTACACGATTTTTTTTTATTTTTTTTTTGTTTACAGTTTATATAGCCGAGAAACATTTTTCGGTTAAATCTGACTTATTGGACAGTCTAGAAATCTCTAGATTTAATGCAACAACCGCTTTAGGATCTAGAAAAATAGGCTAGTCTATGTGGAAACACAATCGCGCAGTTCACTTAATTATGTCGTCAGTGTTTTCCTAGACGGTATTAAACGTCCGTCTAAACGCGTTTAGACGGTAAACGATAGGGTAACGTGGAGTTTAGGGCCTGGGCGGACAGCTAAACGGGTTTTCCGTCTAGACGGTCAAAGACGGGAAGAAACGTTGAAGACGGCCTAAACGGAACGGCGACAAAACGGTTTTGGGCGCCGAAACGGCCGTTTCTCGTCGCGTTTAGGTGATGGTAGCGGAAAAGTTTTTTTTTTTTTTTGGGTACAGGTAGCGGGTTATTAAGAGAAATTTGGGGATTTTTTATTTTTCCCGTTTAGGGCTAAAGAGAAGATTTTTTATTTTTCCCGTTCCGCTTAGCTCTCACGCACGCCGCCGCCAGCTCCCACGCACGCGGCGTCAACCACCGGCGACCAGGCTGAGCTCGAGCTGCGCACGTCTCCCGACTCCGTCCTACGCGCCACCTCCGACCGGTCCCAGCCTCCCAGGTACTGCTCTCATGCTCTGTTCCACTTTCAATCCACTCCTATTGCTCTCATGCTCTGATTTAAAGGTCGATGACATGCCATTTGCAGGATGTCATCTACTGCATCTCGTCCATCCATGGACCAGCCAGAGACATATAATGCCCTTGCCCTTAAGAGAAATTCTGATGATGTGGGGTGGGAGTATGGAGTTTTGATTGATCCAAATTATCTGAATGTAATCAAGTGCAAGCTGTGCTCAAAGGTTGTGAAGGCAGGAATCTATAGGCTCAAATTGCATATTGCCGGCAAGAAAGGAGAAGTTCGTGCATGCCCCAATGCCACCGAAGAGGACAAAGCAAAGTGCAGTAAAGCTATTGATGAGTCTAGGAGAGCTAAAAGGGCTAGAAGGGAGAAAGAACAAGAGGTTAGAGATGCTGTTATGATTGATGCTGAGTCAGATGTAGAACCGGAAGAAAATACTGGGCTTGATGAGATTACAGGCTCAGGATCACGTGTGATGGGTCCTATGGACAACTTCACAAAGCCTATGGACTCTAGTTCGTTGGCCAAGGGGAAGAAGCTCCATCAGCAAAAAATCAGTGAGCATGTCATGAAAGAAAGACTTCATAGGTTCAAGAGATATGTGGCAAGATGGTTGTACGTTCGCAGTAAGTTTGTTTCAGGATTTGCAGCAAGTAATTGATTTTTCATTTTTGTTGCCTAACTTCCAAGTTTATAACCATGAATTGCATTAATTTTCAGGAGTACCTTTCAATGCAATCAATAATATAAGTTTGATCAAATGATTGAAGCTGCTGGTCGCTTTGGGTCGAGTGCAAAGAAACCTTATCAGCATGAGTTGAGAGAGAAGCTGCTGCAAGAGGAAGTTCAAGATACAAAGGAGATGTTGAAGGCACATGAGAAAGAATGGCACAAGAATGGCTGCTCCATTATGACAGATGCCTGGACAGATCAGAAACGAAGAAGCATTATGAATATGTGTGTCAATTGTAGCATTGGTACTAGCTTTCTTGAGTCAAAAGAAGTTTCAACCGAGTCCCACACTGGAGAACTCATTTTTCAGTATGTGAATAGCTGCATTGACAAAGTTGGGGCTGAAAATATAGTTCAAGTAGTCACAGATAATGCTTCAAACAACATGGCAGCAAAGGATTTGATGTCTGTAGAGAGGCCTAAAATATTTTGGACTTCATGTGCAACTCACACAATCAATTTGATGCTTGAAGGAATGGGAAAGATTAAGAAGTTTAAGACCACAATTGCTCAAGCAAATTCATTGACAATCTTCATTTATGCACACCATAGGACCTTGGCATTGATGAGGAAGTTTACAAAGAAAAGAGAGATTGTTCGGCCAGGCGTGACTAGATTTGCATCCAACTTTCTCAGCTTGCAGAGTTTGTATGAGAAGAAGGAGCAGCTAAGGACGATGTCTCAAATTGAAGAGTGGGAGAAGATAAGCCATGTCAAGAGTGCAAAAGGAGTGCAAGCCACAGCCACCTTGGTGAGGCCAAATTTTTGGAGTTCTGTTTCACTTTGCTTGAGGGTATTTGAGCCATTGGTGAAAGTACTTCGGATGGTTGATGGGGATGTGAAGCCATCAATGGCATTTCTTTATGGAGAAATCCTTAAGGCCAAGGAAGACATCAAAGTGGCTATTGGAAACATTCCTGGGGCAGCAGGGTTGTATAGTTCTATCTTGGAAATCATTGATGTGAAGATGAAAAATAGGCTGGACTGTCCTCTTCACAAGGCTGCTTACTTCTTGAACCCCTATTACAGCTACAATGATGACTCCATCCTTGAATCTGAAGAAGTCATGGATGGTTTCTTATTAGTTGTTGAAACATTCTACCATGGTGATTATGATAAGCAAGCACAAGTACTGAATGAGGAAGTGCACAAGTTCAAAGACCGTGCTGGTCATTTTGGAAAACAAGTGGTTGCTGCTGGCTGTAAGGAATTTGACATGAATCCTGGTATGCAAGTTAAAATTTTTGTCATTTCTACAAGTTAGTATTTCAGTTATCTAACTTTAAGTAATTTTTTGTTTCTATTTTTTGCAGCCAAATGGTGGGGAAACTATGGAACACAAGTACCAGCATTACAAAAGATGGCTATCAGAATTCTATCCTTGACTTCAAGTGTATCAGGTTGTGAAAGAAATTGGAGTTGCCATGAAGGGGTAAGCATCCTAAAGAAGAGATTCAGATTCTCAAATTCTGTGTTGTATACACTCCTTTCACAATTTGATTTTTGTAGATTCATATTCATACTAAAAAAAAGAACAAGCTCACTTGTGAGAGGCTTGAGCAACTTGTGTTCGTTCAGTTTAATGCTCTCCATGGACAGAAGAGAGATAAGGCTCAGAAGAACAAAAAGGTGGATCCCCTTCTAGCTACTGAAGCAACATGTGCTCAAGGATGGATCGTGGAAGGAGGAGAAGAGGATGAAATCAGAGAAGTTGATCCTGTTACGGGCCTGACATGGCAGCTAATTGCAGAAACTTGTGGTGCTGATGAGGTCATTAAACTTCGGAGAAGTGCAAGACTGAATCAGCCAAGAGAGATTGAAGAAGACATATACTCTGAATCTGAGGATGATCCTATTGACGAAGAAGAAATTGAGTTTGAATCTGACCAAGAAGATGTGGTCACAGCAGGCTATGAGGCAGAGGAGGGGGCTGGGACTAGTGATGATTGAGCTGCTCCAAGTCATATGATCAGAGCCTACAATGGCCTTGTTTTATTTTTTATTATGTGTGAACTATTTGTGTAATGTTGTCCTATTTGTGCCTTGCAAGAACTATGTTGTGTCTTGTGTGTTGGTTATTTGTGAACCATTTGTGATTTGCCTAATGTTTACCACTTCTGCTAATTCTGAACTGACTTGTGAACTTTCATATTACTGCATGTTACTTTAGTTTGCAAACAGACAACCAAATACTTAAAGCTTTGTATAACAATATTTATTTTCTCCTATATGTACACAGTTTATATGGAGTCAAAGGTATGGACATGTAGTTATGCAAGTTCAGAAACTCAAATTATGCAAGGTATGTGCAGTTCTGTGACTTATGTCATTTTCATTTGTAAAATATTCATTCTTACATGTAAAATTGACATCTATATACATACAAAACAAATGAAACCTTGCTACAGTAACAATATCGTTTAATCCGTCTAGACGCCGTCTAAACGGCGTCTAAACACTCTAAACGCTAAACAGAGGGTCACCGCCCGTGTACCATTTAGTGTCTAGGAAAAGATTGCTATGTCGTGTTATCTTTGGCAGTTACCAACTTTCGATTGCTACTTACAAAATAAAATCAACAACAATTAACGGATTGCAAGTTCAACTATAACACTAAACATGAAATTTCTTATTTAGCTAGGTGATCAATCTAAATAAATTCACACACATTATGGTTGATCAAACAAAATAACACAAGTTGTTTCGTAGAAACAACAAAATAATTATTCACCGTAATTAATTAAACATAGCAATAGGATTTGATATCCACGAAACTAGAAATAAATATACTTTTACATAATAAATAAAAAGAAAACGAGATAAACATAATTATCCTCCTCATGTGCGGGTGCAGTTTCTCCTAGGCCTGCGCGTTATTGTTCCCCTGCGCGCAGTCCCTAAGTAGGCCCTCCTAATATATTAGCCCACCAAACAAGTTCCTTCAATATATCCAGCAATAAAATCCTTGGCCCAAACCTTTTACCAAACCATCCACATATAACCTCACATCAAAATTGGGTCTTACTTCCACAATTAGAACATATGGGCCTGGACTAGTATGGTGCACACTGCACACCCATGTTGCGCCGGTTGGAAGTTTTTGTTTAATTTCTTGTTGTCCATATTTTAATAGTCTGAAAATAAACCATAAAACATAGTGTATCACTTAAATCCGTCGAACAATAAATAAGTCGAAAAATATATAAGTGCGATAAAATTAAACATATAAAAATATGCTAATAAATATATAAATACACACTTTTTCGACCAGTCATTAACTTAATCAACAACTTTCAACGAGCACAAACTTGATTTGTTTATCAAACGAATAGAACCGAACTCGAACCTTAACAAGTTGAGTTGAGCTAACGAAATTTTTGTTTCGTTGAACAATTATAATTCTAATTATCGGCATGAGTTGTTATTCGTTATAATCAACATTTTTATTTATTTTTGTTCAATTTCTAAACGAGTGGGACTATTTTTGTTTGCATTTGGCTCTTTTTCCTTTGTATTGTACGGTGAAATTGAAATAGATGGTGAAATTCTGCTCATTTTTTTTTTTTTTTAAATTGTATCAACCCTCTACAGCCGCCACTACAACAATTGTCTTTAGTAGGAACAAATATTGTGCCTAAAACCATCAAAATCGCGACTATATATGAAATGTCGTTGCAAAAAAGTCGTGCTTTGTGAGAACAGAAAAGTACGACACGGAGAGGGAAATAATGGGATCGACTTGGCCCGTCGGGCCAAGAGACAATACAACGAGCTTGGAGTGGCGAACACGAGCGTCGCCCGCCTTGGGGATCTTTGCTCTATGGGAAAGTGATCACATTCCGTACAAGTAAATGATCAGATAAGAAAAGAGATTTGAGAGATCCTATGGTAATATATTTCAATGGAAATTCCAACGGTTATTCCAATAGTAAAGCTTCCGTTGGAATGGTTCCAACGGAAATATTCCGTTGGAATGTGTTTTTCATTGGAATTTTAGATGAAATTTGGTGATTCCAACGGCTTTATTTCCAATGGCTTTTTACCGTTGGAATATGCAATTTCCGTTGGAATTTTAATTTCCACCCCTGTTGGAAAATCTACCGTTGGAATCGTCAAAATCCAACAGAAATTCCAATGGAAAACTCATTCCAACGGAATATTTCTGTTGGAATATCCGTTGGAATCCATTGAAAAATTCCAACGGAAATAATAGTATTGAAATATCCGTTGAAATTGCCGTTGGAATCATTCTATTATAATAAATTTACGTTAGAATTTCATCATTTTCTTGTAGTGCGAGCCACGCAAGCTTACAGGTATTGATGAGGGTTCAACTAACCCTCAGCCCCCCCAGCCCAGGCTAGCCGTGACCCTGCCTGGTGAGCCCAGTCTAGCCGCGGCCCTGACTGGCTCGTGCCCCGGGGGACCCACCGACTCCAATGAGTCCCACAGTGGACTCATGGCCTTCCACACTGCTCATGTGTGGTTTTTGCCCTCCCCAGGATTCGAACCTGTGACCCTGAGCATAAGGTCACCAAGCATGCAATCCTGGTACCATCTCACCAAGTTGGACAAATCACTCTCATTTTAGGACAAAACATTTAACAGTTTAGGACAAATCACTCTCATTTCCATATTTTAATTGGACTACTCGCAGATTTTAGGTACGCAAATTGCGAGTGTTTTAATAGGGGGGTGTCTATATGTACACCCCCTTGTGTGTAAAAAATGGGTGTACATATAGCATTGCCCTTTATGTAATTTATTAAAGGGGGATGTACATATAGCATTGCCCTTTAATAGTTGGTATTGAAATTGAGATAGCTTCAATGTATGAAAAATTGCACATTTGGTACACTATGTTTGTTCTAATTGCACTTTCGTCATTTATTTGAGTTTAGATTTGGTACACTATATATTTTTTTTCTTTTTTTTTTGTGTGGCAATTTTGTGCAATTTGAGATCCTGGCACTCATTTCTATCAGACGTGGCGTCCAATCGGGTCCCATTTTCGATTATCCAACGTGATGTGGACATTGCCACGTGGACATGACAAACACATCGATAAAATATTCAAAAAAAATAAAAAATTAAGGCTGACTAAAAACCATAGCCGCCAGAGACAGATCGAATCTAATTTAGCTGTCATTACAATCCACTATACCTATTTTATATATAATGCCATATATCCCTTTAGAATGAATGCATTAATCGAAGATATGTATTCAAAATCAAAGTTTACTTTTTTTGACATATTTATATTAAGTGGATTTACATTTCATTCATTATTTGACATGTGCTGACAGCTGATTCATTCATGAACCGATTTTCTTCAAAAGGTGCCAAGGCTCCCGATTTTGAAAAGAACCGATTCGTGAATGAATTACAAATTTACATTCCATTTATTATTAACGTAGGTCCATGAAGGCCATTTTCAACAAAGAAAACCGGGTCGAGATCATTCCATGGCGATCGAGTTCAAGAAGGAATTTCATTTAGTCGAGGCTCGACTGATTTTCATAACCTTGAAATTAATTAATTACATTAATTTTCATCGTTTTAGCGATGAAAATATGAGTAATTAAACGAGGCGGCTTGCTTCTATATATATATATGGTGATGTATCAAAATCTATTATTTTATATAGTTTGTCATCTATTATGTGGATCCGAAAACCGGAAGGTCTCTGTACCATAAAAAAAAAAAACAAATTAACCGGTTTGAGCATTGTTGTAACTATCACGACGTATTATTTATTAATTGATATACAAATATTCCTGCAAATTGCAAAAAAGGATAGAATTGATCTCAAAGCTTTTTGAGTTCACTCTCGGGAACAAAGACGCCATGCAAGCCAGCCGGCACGCGATGAGGCAGCTTCACGGCCGCGACTATGTCGAGAGTTGGTGACTTTGCGTCCATCACCACAAACTTAGACTCTTGAACGTTCTCGTCGTGTACGTAGGTTACTAAATACCCATCATCCTCGTCGGCCGCGGGGTTATCGGGCTCCCTAGCCACGAAAAATGGTTCCCCGCCGTAACAGCCCGGCCCGTATAGTCGGCTAGCCACTATACAATCTTCACAACTCCCCTCGTTAATTTCGTCATCCATGAGCGACACGTCGAGCTTCACCACCCCTTCGTAAGACTTGCCGCCAAGTACCGTTGCATATACATACTTGCTCTTCTTGGACACGTAAGCCGAATTCACGACCGCTAAATCAAGAAAGAATTGAGCCGTCAAAAGCTTTCGGCTACGCAATCTCTTTCCCTTGACATCGATCGTCACCTTCTCGAGCATCGGCTTCGTGTGCTCGATTTCCCCGATAAAATGCTCGACCGACGTGAGGTTAGATGCCACCAAAATAATGGTGTCCCCGTCATCCTCGTCCCACGCGTTCACGCAGTGCACCATGTTGAACCCCGGAGCATCCACCCACACCATATCTCGATCGTCGGTTGCACGCTTCTCGATAATCCCGAGCCGCGGGACTTTCTCCGTGACCACCCCAACCGGCGGCCTCCCCTTCAACATCCATATCGGGTTCACCACCATTTGCCCATCCGAGAACACCACGTGGGCCTCCGTCAGCCCGAAGTCGTGCACGATCGTGCACTCACTCATTAAACGCACTGGCACGCCTTTTCCCTTGATAAGCCCACGCTCTATTCGGTAGAACGTCAGGTAAGGACGCACGACGTCGTACGTGTAGGCGAATGCGTCCCCTGTCTCGGGATCAATTTTCGGGTGGGCTGTCATCCTCGGGAATTGCTCTCCGTCCGTGTCGTGCGAAAAGTCATACCGACCGAGGGTGACGACATCCCCGTCCTCGGCGACTTTCACTTCATACGGTAAATCGGACTCGCACATCGCGAGGAGGCGGCCGCCGAGCAGTGCCACGCTCGTGTTGGCCACGCCGAACCCGTTTTTGATAGGGTCGAACCGGCCCGTGAGGGCCGACCAAGCGGCCGCCACGACTAAGCGGGCCGCGGTGGCGAGGACGGGAGCGCCAGAGAAGGCGAAGAAGTTTGGGATGACAGGGCGGCCGGCCGCGTGCTCAGTTTCGAACTTGTGGGTGCGGACGTAGCGACTGCAGAAGGTGGCACGACCGCGTGAGATACGGATCGTGTGGAGCATCCCATCACCGTCGAGGAGGTGGTACGGGCCGCGCGGCGGGAATCTAGGGTTTGGGCCATTGCGGATGTAGATACCATCGAGGCACGGAGGAACGAAGCCCTCGACCGCGAGGCACGAGGTCGGGGGAAGCTCGTCGCACGAGGAGAACATCGTGTCTGAGAGGACACGATGGGGTTCGATAGAGGAGGGGAGAAGAGAGGGGTCAAGGTAGCGGCGGATGAGGCTGTCGAGGGTGTCGAAGATGGAGTCGACGTGTGGTCGGCCGCCGTTGTCTAGGGTTTGGTGTGTGGTTTTTAGGAGCTTTTTTATGCCTAGGGTTTGATGCGTGGTTTTGAGGAGCTTTTCTATGGGTTTGTTGATAAAGGTGGGGAAGAGAGATGATGATGATTTGATGATGAGTTTGGAGAAGGGAGGATAATGGTGGCCATGCGTGGTTTTCAGCATGCTCGTGTGATTATGAGGATATTGCATCTTTAGGATGAAAGTGGAGGATTCCGTTAGTTTCGATTGGAGGGAATTAATAACGCCTTCTTGATCTTAATTTTCTCACCAAATTAATGATGATTATGGTAATAAACAATTAATAATAGGGTGTGCATATACATGTATATATATATATATATAGAGAGAGAGAGAAGAATTTTGTGGAGATCTAGTCTTGCCATGTGGCATGTAAATAATTTCAAATCTTAGATGACATGGATAAAATTATGTAAAATTAACAAAATTTACTCAAATTCAAACAGACTAGGTCTCTACTTGAGTCTAAAATAGACTTAAAGGTAGATTGGGTCTCTCTTCTGGCTGTCACATCAGTAGGACCCAATTTACTTTTATTTGCATTTATAATATATTTTTCTAGATTGAGTCTATTTTTAAAATGACATAATTTTTTTGTGATTGAACCTAAAATATTGTGTATGATTTTAGACAATTTTAAGTCAATTTAAGTCAATTTTATTGCTTTTATATATTTTTATTTATGTCATCTAAAACTTAAAGTATATTTCGAAAGCATGGTAGATGCTATGTTGGGAGTTGACCGGGCGGCAAGTTAGTATTATTTGGGGGAAATTGTTTGTTGTCTCTGCATGTGATGTCCACTATTATTTGGGAACCAAATCTAATATAGTTGACAATTGAGAAAATAAATATAACTGGGTTGAGAGAAAAGTCTTTGCCATGGATAGATTTTTGGAGATGTCCCGTTGTTGAACTATTTCGTCGAGTTTTGTAACCGTTAGATCAATTATCCTCGACGGTTACATGATAATCTAATGATTACAAACCCGACAGAATGGTTCCGTAAAAAGACCGTAACATTTCTCAATAGTTTAATTATTTAAAAAGAAGTGTTGTAGAATTTTTATTTTTTTTTCCCTTTTTTTTCCTTCTTAGCATACATTTTCTTATAAAAACAATCTTTTTTTCAAAGTATACAGAAAATATTATTTAATTATAATGATTACTAGTACAATACCCGTGTACTACACGGGTACTTGATAGAAAAATTATTTTTAAAATCAAATAATATTAATAACAACAACAACATTTGTTTAAAATTAAATATATGTTTCTATTAGGCTAATTTGAGGTTTTCATGGAAATTAATGAGCCGAATGAGAACTTCTAAACGAAATCAAGGTTATATTAGTCAATCAAATACCATTACCAAATTTTCTAATACAATTTAAGGGTTGTTTTAATTAAACTTTAGATTTTCTTTTTCAATATCTTTGGAATGTCCCAATCTAAAATTATTAATTTAGAATGATATTATTTTTATTTAAATCAAACTACGAAGCATGTTTTTTGCCATGTAGAATTCAGAAACGTGCGAAGCTGCAGCTTAGCATCAGCACATTCTGCAATTATATATAGGGGGATTATAAAATTACTCAAACTGAATTGTAAATAATTATTTAGCAATATATAAAAAATAATTATAACAAAATTTTTTTGGTTATATAAATATAATGATAATCTAATTTATTTCTAAGGAAAATTAATATATAAATATGAAATGTAATCACAATACAATAAAACTTTTTTTTTTTTTTTGTTTGAAAAAATGAATCAAGTTTTATGGAGTTGAAAATAAAATTTAGTTAGACATATGTGCCTTTAAAATTATAGTTAAAAAATAAATTTCACAAATTTAGTGTAAAAATACAGATGTCATATTGAATTAATTATCACTTTGTTAGTTATTTATTATTATTGTATATTCATTTTATATAATTTCACAATAAAAATATAAATTATTTTATTTTTTATTGTACGAAATTTAATATATTTAGTTACATATGTAGTACACATGCATCTTACTAGTATTTAATGATTTATGAACATTTATATATCATTTTATTAATATTTATATTAATAAAATGGTAATGCATTAGAACTTTTATTAATGTATGGTAAATTTAAGGTTCTCAGAACAAGATCGTCATCCATCCGACCAAATTATTTATTCAATGTTTTATTGGTTGAGCCATAATTTAATTTATTTTAATATTTTAATACAGTATATAGTATTTTTTTGAAATAAATTATATTGAAAATATTAATTACTATATAAACAATTTAAAATTTTTAAATACTTAAACTAGTTGATAAATAATTTATAATCTTCATTTTATTTTAAAGATATATTTTTATATATTAAAAATAATTTCAAATGTGACAATATTTATTTAAAAAAAATATATATCGACCCTACCAGTCCGACTGACTTGAGATGAATGATTTGCTGACAAATTAACATTTTATTCAAGCTAACCAGACTGATAGATAAATAGATCCTCGATCCATTCAGTTGGGTTGTTAGGTCCAATTCGGTATTAAAAACAATTGATAATCATGATTAATGTTATTTCTATATATAATTTATAATACACCCGTACTATTGTTTCTCAATTGTCAAGATTTCAAATAAGATATACGTTGATTTTTTCTAATTAAAAGTTTCAAGATAATATACCTATATTTTTTAATAGAAATATAATTCTTAATTACAAAATACTTGAAAAAATATATTTTAGGGCATAGGGCGTTAATCCCCTTTCTTCCTCCCCAAACCCTAACATATTGATCCCCTCCAATCAGTGTCGATCGGCATTCCTCAGCGACAATGAGTTCGATTCGGTGGTCGTCCCTCGGCCGCCTGGCCTCCGCCTAGCGCGCCTTTCTCGTCGCTCGTCTTCATGTAAGCTTTTAGCTTTCAAGTATGGGTCGGATTTCATATGCCGACTCGCGAGTTCTTTTCATCGGCTTCCTGGGTTGTGGTGATGGTGGGTGGGTGCGTTCTGTCGGGTAGGTGATGCATCGGTTGTTTGACGGCGATGGTGTCGGACGGCCGGAGCTCCGCTGGTTCTCCCGCCTTCTTCCCCTTTACTTCGACGTTGGGTCCTCCGGCCATTCTCTTTATTTCTCAACACCTCATTTTTGTTTATATAATTAGATTAATTTCATTATCAAAATTTACAAAAGACACAACTGCACGTCGCCATGAGACAAATTAGAATTTATAATTTATATCAATTAGCCTCTACTAACTAGTAGTAGTGACAAATAAGGACCAATCCCGTAATGAGTTAGTCAAATTGTGAATATCTTGCATTAATTGAAATTATAAAATCTATACTTATATAAAGAGCCGTCCTATTTACTAAAATTAGTAGCAAAAAAATAGGTCAGCATTTAATGCAACTCATAAATAGTAGTTTTATTATTTTTCTTATTTTTTTATTTAAAATCATACAATTTAATTTATAAAAATCATACAATTTATTTTTTTTAAATATGCTTTAATATATATATAATACTTTTTGTAATAAATTTGAATAAAATTTGTTACTTAAATATCTAAACAATTTAATAATTCAAATGTTTAAGTTAATTGATAAACAATTTATAAATCTCTATTTTATTTAAATATGTAATTTTATTTAAAATACCAAATTTATTTAGAAAATCGTATTGATCATACCAATTCAACCGACTGGTGTTGACAGATTTAATAGAAAATATTTTATTCAAGTGAACTAGGCTAATTATAAGTGGTTCTCGGTCCATCCGGTCGGACTGTGTCCAACAGGGCTTAATTTAAAAATGATGAGTAAATCTTAATTAATTTATTTATATATTTAATTTATAACACAATCGTAATATTATTTCTCGTGCATCGCACGGGCCACACACTAGTGCCATAAAAGAGGGGATTATGATTTTATAACCAAACTAATTAAAATCTCAATAAAACAAAAAAATATATAATTAATTAATAATAATAATAATAAAATAAAATAAGTTAAGAGAAATTTTTAGTTTACGGTTTCATCTATGCCTTCTATCGACTATAGTCTAACTAACTGTGACATCAACTTTTACTATCTTTGAAAATTACTAGCCCTATGTAATGATAGGTCGAAAAATGTACACATTTTATATATTTAATAGTGTGTTTTTATACAATTAAACTATTGAATCAATAGTTTAATAATTGTTTCAATAATCGATTTTGATAACTTTGATTCATATATACAATAATTTACCCAAAATGTACCAACTTTCTATTTAATGCCCACAACTATTGTTGAGAACCCAATTTGCAATTTGGTGATTATTTTTTTTTTTAACGAGTTTCATGCTAGCAATACAATATAGTTTGATGGGACAACTCACATAAGTTGACTTCCCCAATTAAATATTAGTCCATATGATTAAACTAATTACTTCTTGATAAATTTATTATTTTGTAAATTCCACTTGTCTATCAAATATTGTAAAGCAACTCACTTTTTTTTTTTTTCTCACTTATTACTGAAAAATCAAGTAATTTGTAGATGTGATAATTGAACATTAGTGGGCCCTGTCTTTCGGTCTCACGTAATGGGCTAAGATTCACTAAACTATACAACAAATCCCCATGTATATCCTCTCTATATAATTTTCGAATGTGCTGAGCTTAAGTGATAGATTTCCATGTTTCAGAATCTTATGCGTCAAAATATCATGATTTGTTATTTGTCTTGGTTAAATTTTAATTTAATCTAATCCAAAACGAATTAGGTTATGATTACCATAAATATGTTAATTTATTTATGTTCATTTTAGATGTATTAATTGTATTTTAATATCATTTCCTATTATAACTATTGAACTGTAAATATATTTTAAAAGTTGATAAATTTTGTATTTCTTATCGGTTTTACATATATAATGTATCAGATTAATCATATTTTGATGACATTTGATTTGACATTCATATTGTATATATAAAATAATTAAATTATAAAAAAAAAGTATATACATATATATTTATAAAAGTATTTAAATTTTCAACTACTTTTTCTCATTAATTTTAAATTTTAAGAAAAAAATATAGCAAGCACCCATATAATACACGGACGTTGTACTAATATTTACTATTTGAAAATGAT